CGGCCCGCGCACCGCGACGGCCCTTTCCTTTGGCAGCCGCCTCCTGGGGCGGCTCCCGCTCCAGGCTGTGTCCGAGCAAGGTGCTCGGAGGGTGTGTGGAGCAGCGGGACCGGGACCGGCCTGGCTAAAGGAGCTGTCACGAAAGTCGCTTGGTCTCGGTTAACTCCAGAGCAAGAGGGGGAGGTGACTGCGGAGGGGAGCAGGAAAGCTTGATGGTGGAGGGAACGTCCCGGGAGAGATCCGGGCCATAAATCATTGCTGGGGGAGCCGGGCTATCCAGGATCTGTTCCCATTCTGCTGCTGCTTGTCACTGGAGGGAGAAGGAGTTGTTTCCCTCCTCTGCGTCTCGGTTTCACCTTTCTCCCTCGGGAACAGCTCTAAGATCTGCTGATAAAGTGCTCGATAAGAGCTGTGGAGGCTGAAACGGGTGTGCGTCAAGGTCTAGTCCAAGGGTTGCGGCGAGCAGTGTTAAATTCCGTGGCGGAGGTGGCGTTCAGGCTGCCCGTGGTCGAGGTGAGGCTGTTTTCCAGCTGACCTGGGAAGAAGGAGCATTGATCCTGCATGCTCTCTCCTTTCCTTTCTAAATATAGCGGAAGAATGGCATCTAGCCGTACCCAGGTGCGGTTGGGTTACCACCGCACGAGGAGCCGGGCAGTTGGCCACAGCCAGCGGCAAGCCCGTCCCATTGATGGGCTCCTTCCAGCTTCCCTGGGGGGTGCTTGGGATGGAGCCCCCGAGCCAGGAGTTGGGGCAGGAGCTGCACAAACCTCCAGGCAGAGGGAGCAGCTCGTCCTGTCCCAGCAGCCAAAGCCACCGTTCTCGGGTGGCTGTGGCGCTCGGCTGCAGCCCTGGCCCCAGCAGTGCTTTTTCCCCGGAGTCTTTCCTATTCCCTGTGCCACAGTCCATGGTTTCCCAACCACGGGAGCATCCCCGCAGTGAGACCGTGTTGCTGGCCGGACTTGCACGGCCAGCAGCTGGGTGTGCAAGGGCAGGACCAGGCTGTGCCATGGGCATGTGCTTGCACCCGTAGATAACTTCCTTGGGATTGGGGATGGGCATCCCCAGAGGCTGCTGCTGCCCCCATGGAAGCTGGGAACAGCTGCAGGTCTGTCCCAAAACATGCCTGGCTGCCTGCAGCCACCTCTCGCCTTACCCAGCCAGCCGCAGGTGAAGGTGGAGACAGGTTGGTTCCAGATGCATCAGGGGACCCCGGGACGGCTGGCAGCTGTAATCCTCGCCCGTCTCTCCTCCCCAGGATAATCACAAGCTGTACAAGCAGAAACTGGAGGAGCTAACCAAGCTCCAGGACGGGATCTCCAGCTCCATCGCACGGCAGAAGAAGCGGTTGAAGGAGCTGTCGCTGTCCCTCAAGAAGTAAGTTGGTGTCCTGCGACGGCACGGGGTGGGATGGGAGAGCAGCAAGGATGGGGCTACGGAACTCACCCCGTGGCTCTGTCTCCACTACAAACGTGCCTGCAGCCTCGCTGACGGCCAAGTGCTGCGGTGCCCTCAGGCCGACCTTCCCCAGCTTCCCTCTCCTTGCCCCGGTTTGAGCCTCCTTTGCGGTTCAGAGCCAGTGAGGGCTTTGCAGGTAACCTGAACTGCCCCCATCGCGCAGAAAGCTCTCTCCATCCTTCCTTGAGAAGACCTGTGTGGCCTCATCTCGCTCTCATGCCTGCTTCCTTTCCTTGAGCAACATCCCAGCCTGCCGAGGGAGTCACGGACTGGCCTCCCGTCCGCCTTCCCTGTCCTTGGGGTGTCCTTGTCCAAGGGCAGTCCTGTACCAGGTGCCAGCACGTGCCGATGGTGTTACGGAGGCTATCCTGATGCCTGTTTCCTCCCCAGATGCAAACCCCACCTGAGTCCCGAACAGGAAGAGTCCGTCCAAGAGACCCAGAGCCTAATAAAAGAGAGGCAGAACGTTTTCTTTGAGATGGAGGCCTATCTGCCGAAGAAGAACGGGTAAGAGGCGCCTCGTCTCTGGGTGAAACACTGGGTCCTCCCTCCACCCCCCCGGGGCTGTCGCCCTGCTCCCGGCGGTGTCACAGCCCGGCTACCCCGCTCGGAGCCAGGCTGAGTGTCTGCAGCACTGCCCTCATCCCCCTCGCTCCTCTGCCTGCCCGCGGCCTTCACCTGCCCTTGAACGGTGGCCATGCGTCGGGGGGAGCCCCGGCGACACCCCGCTGCTTGCGGGAG